AGACTTCTTCCCTTGGGCCTGATGCTGTCTGGGTACCTGCATACAAACAAGTGTGTGTACTTGACCTGCGGCCTGGGCTAGGTACCTTTGGACTTTGACTGTTGGAATTTCCGACAGTTGACTTTGGTCAACTGTGCCTCGTCCAGGCCCTGAGTCTTGACTGGGGTCTTCTTACCCCTGTTCGACCAGGGTCTCAATTTCAACGAGGCTTACTACATGGGTTATTACAGTTACACACCAAAAACAGGAATTACAATGGGGGGTAATAGAACATAAGAATCGAGGTGGTTCCACATGGAAACATTATCTTGATACAAAAATGGGAAAGCAGTGAAATCTGAGATTTTGATGTTCCTTTTTATCGTTTTTTTTCATGTTCATAATTTTTGACATAGCCACAAAATTAAACATAATACCACCTCCCACTTGACCCAGGAAGATTGCTCGGGCGGAATCTAGCGCACGCTGTCGAGGCCAAGCGGCAGCAGGAATGAAAGGAGGGACAAAATTACACCGTTAAGGCAGCTGCAAATAAATGTAATAATACCTAGGCTACCAGAGTGGCCCGGGGTCACTTGCCCGGCCGGGCCAAAAACAATTAAAAAAATAAAAATAAAAAAAAATATTTTTGAATTTTATTTTGTTTTCTAAATTTGGTGCAGAATTTTGATGTGACCCTGAGGCAAAAGTTGTTCAGTTTATTTTTCTGCATAACATAGTTTTTTTCCGGATTTTTTTGAATTTTCTTTTTTTTTGCTGGGACCTTCCCTGGTCCTTGCACGGGCTGGCCACCGGGACCCGGGCGGCCCGGCTGGTAGCCTAGAATAATACGATATTTACCATAATAATAGGTGTAGTATACATGGTTATGGGAACGGAAAACAGGGGTTGGCTTCCCTCATTTTGGGAGGCCGATTGGATTTGCCCCCCGACAACGGGTCCCTTTCTGCGAGATCGCTTCGGTCATGACGGCATTTTCATGGTCGTTGACCGGTTGAGCAAGTACACTCGATTTCTCCCATGCAAGTACCATGCTACCGCTCCCGAGCTTGTACGGATCGTGCACGTCGGCTGGATTTGCAGCCATGACGTCCCGGAGGACATCGTTACACCCGTGACACTTGGTTCATGTCGGCCTTTTGGACTGCTCTCATGAAGAAGTCCAGCACGACCAGGAAACCAAGGTCCGCTCGGCATCCACAAACGGACGGCCAAACAAAGACGGTATATCAAAGTGCCCAAATGATGCTCTGCGCACTCATCCGACCGGATCAAAAGGACTGGGTTGACCATCTTCCCGACATCGAGTTCGCCTACAACACTTCGTTGCATCCGACAATCGACGTCACCCCATTTGAGCTTCACCATGGAGGCCGAAAAGGACGGATCTTCGCTGACCACCTTCTTTCGCAGGCCGCCGACATCGGCGCCCCTTGCACACCCGCCTCCATCCGGAAGATGCGGGAGCTGTTTGTTAAAGCCTGCTCAACCATGCAAAAGGCTCAGGTCCGCATGCAGCAGCAAGTGAACCGGTGTCATGTGCCTTGTCCCATCCGTGGAGGCGACCTGGTTTGGGTCTCCTCCGAGGATTTCCACTGGAACATGATGTCTCTTGCAAGCTCCTCCCTAAATGGTTTGGGCCTTGGATCGTTCAGTCCGCGGCAGGTGATCAGCCCAAAGACCCGTCTTTCGTGATTGACAAACCGCCTCATCTGCCAGTCCATCCTGTCTTCCACACTTCGAAGCTATCTACCTATACGCCGGCCAAGAGCGATGATTTTCCAGATCGGCGACCGCAAGACCCTCCTTCAATGGATGGCCACCAAGAGGTTGAGCGGGTCATCGCACACCGCCACTATGGCAACAGGCCGCCGCAGTACAAAGTCAGATTCCGACAATGTGACCGCGACGACACACGGTGGATTTCCTGGGATGCTTTGAAGACTTTTGCACCAGACATCTACGCCGAGTACGAGCGCCGACGCTTGGCTACCATCAGCAACTTAACCTTCCCACCTGGATTACGGTCCCTCCCTCAGATCGACAGCTCCACCCTTCGTCAGTAGACTCGGTCTTTCAAGGAGGGGGGGGTGTGGCATATGTACATCCCACACGGGCCCAGTAGGACCCGTCAAGTAGGTAGGAAGGGGTAGGGAAGTAGCTTCGGGCTGGCACATTCATTTCGTGGCCCGAAGTAGGGCCTGTGCCGGTTCAGGCCAGAAAAAGGGCCGTTTTAGGCCCACACCAGGTTCGGCCTGGCCAGGCCCTGGTACTGGTAAGGGTTCAGGCCCTGGCCTCTTCTTTTTCCCAGGCCACACTTGGACCGTGAGATTCGATCCAAGTGTACGGCCAGATTGTTTCCCAGGCCATTCATTCTGGACCTCACATTTAGGCCAGTAGGATCTTGGAGAGGCCAGACGAGTAGTATTTATAGACTGGTCTGCCTCTCACTCGGTAGGTTAGTGTGAGTTAGTTATTCAGTGTTATGCTGCGTTAGTGTTCAGCTGTGGGCGCAGTAGGTAGCAAGCGTGGAAGCTGTAGAGAAAGGTGGAGGCCAGACACCGGGACTTACCTGATGACTCACCTGGGGGCACCATAGCTCCAGCTTCGTCTTCAGCACTCCAGCACCGACGTCAAGGATAATAGCTTTACACGGTCAGTATCTGGTATCAGCGGAGAGAGAGGGAGAGAGGATTTTTCTTCTTCTTCTTCTTCTTCTTCTTCTTCTTCTTCTTCTTCTTCTGTCCTCCGAACCTCCTCCATCCTGAATCGCTCAGTGTTCTACTTCCGTCTGTATACGAGAGAGAGAGAGAGAGAGAGAGAGAGAGAGAGAGAGAGANAGAGAGAGAGAGAGAGAGAGAGAGAGAGAGAGAGAGAGAGAGAGAGAGAGAGAGAGAGAATTATCTGAGATCTGAATTTGGGGGCACTCGGGCCATTGCACTGCTCTGGTATTTCGGGCCAAGACCTGTTTTTGGACGTTGTTTTGAGACTGGGACTTCGGGGACATTCGGGATTGGCGACATTGGTGACTTGGTCTCTCACCCCTCTCCTCCCCCTTCGTCTCCATCTCTCTCCTACTTCGTCTGAGGATGATCAGGGGTGACTTGGTCTCTCACCCCTCTCCTCCCCCTTCGTCTCCATCTCTCTCCAACTTCGTCTGAGGATGATCAGGGGACACCCTTCCTTGTATGCTGCGCTGCCCCCTTCTCACCGTGTGATGTATGTATGAGTGTGCATGGTCCATTCCGATATTGCTGTGTCAGATGTGTGTTCAGTCTTCCACTGTGTTTATATAGTCTCTTGCTTTGAGTCGATTCCTTGGATCTGCACTATACAGTCTATACTTGCCATGTTTGGATGTGTATGCGACAATTACCCAGGTTTGCTTTCAAGATGGTACATTACTCTGCATATCCACTGATATGATGGAAATCAGGTCCAGCGTCTTTCTGAAAAGAGAAGCTTGTTCTCTTGTTAAAACCTACTTCAAAGAGCTGCAGCACTGCAGTAGTGTCAACACATCTGGGAAGCAGGCCCAGCGTGCCATGTCTCTGAAAAAGTTTGTGTAATAGTGAAGCCTTGGAATATTGCTAAGTCCAAGTGGAGATAATTGAGGGATTCATCACACATTTGAGCGCCCACTCGTTAATTGTGGGGGAAACTCCCCATTCAGCGAAAGAGAGGCCTCACGACTAAGACTACCAGTACCTTTCCCGGCTATCGTGAGAAAGCTGTGACATTTCCGCATGAATGAATCCATCTGCGCCTGTGTGGCAGGCAGGCTGGCACACATCCCAAATCATGCACGGCCACATTTTGGGGAAGTATTGGTGGTTACCTGTCCTGGCTATCGCGAGAAAGCTGCGATGTTTCCACATGAATTAATTTGTCCGCTAGTGGCAGGCAGGCCAGCACATCCCAAATTGTGCACGGCCACATTTTGGCGAACTATTGGTGGTTTCCTTTCCCGGCTATTGCGAGAAAGCTGTGATGTTTCCACATGAATTAATTTGTCGGCTTGTGGCAGGCAGGCCAGCACATCCCAAATCGTGCATGGCCACATTTTGCGGAATACTGGTGCCTACCTTTCCCAGCTATCACAAGAAAGTCGCGACGTTTCCACATGAATGAATTCATCCACGTGTGGCAGGCAGGCCGGCACATCCCAAATCGTGCACGGTGACATTTTGGAGAAATACTTGTGATTTAAGTTACTTCTGCCACTGCTTCTGCAGGTAACCATTGGCTGGGTAATAGTGTATGATACTGGATATTCTTTTTCAGCACTCAAACTACCCTCTCTGAGTATGGTATCTTACATACAAGCAACTACGCCAAATGAAGGCCCTCCGGTAACCCAACATTGTATACGAACCTGTGTCTAAGACTATAAACAAGCAACTCCGCTGCGCCCCCCACAAACTTTTCTCTTAGCAAATTGCAGGCAGTGGATAGGGAGCATACACTTTGGCAATGGACAATTGAGACCAGTGCGGATATCAACTCGTAGTAGGAGGTCATCAAACGTCAGCCAGAGCATGGGCACAAGCTGGAGAGTTCATGGGAGAGAGAAGGTGAGGAGAGGGGTCAGGGGAGAAGGAAGGAATGTTTTAGCCAGCAACTGCAGCCAGGGAATAGACATGATCCTATCTTGTGAATTGAAACTGTTGCAGCATTGTTTCCACTTTCTCATCAAGTAGAGAAATGTAAAACCTCTCTCTCTCTCTCTCTCTCTCTCTCTCTCACTCTCTCTCTCACTCTCTCTCTCTCTCTCTCTCTCTCTCTCTCTCTCTCTCTCTCTCTCTCTCTCTCGTCGGGGCCAAGGGCAGGTGTCATGTGGCATGCCGGAGCGGGAGGCTGTTCCGGGGAGAACAGATAAGGATCCCAAGATCTTTATCGCGGCAATTGTAGCAGGAGGGAAGCCGAGGTGAGGAATGAAGACGAGAGAGCTCTGATAAAGAGACAAAATCACGACGTTGTTCGCAACTTTTCACACATACCTTGCGTTCTCCAGGGCTATCGTGGAGGGCATCTTGTCTATTTGCAGCTCTCAGCCGGCCAGCCAGACTCACGAAATTTGCAGAAACTGGCTGCCGCAACGTATTACTTCATCCCTGGCACATACAGCAGATTGGGCAAATGAGAAGAGACGGAATGGAATGATCAATGATCGATCAATGTATCGATTAGCTGGTTCAGTGATAAGGGTCATGCTTCTGCGCAGAACTCATTCTGGAAACAATTGGCGACAAAAGTTTAATAGAAACACGTATTTCCATTGCCCTGCGTGAGTGTATTTGTGAATAGGTGTATGTGTGGATAAGTGTGGATAAGTGTGGATCAGTGTGGGCATGTGTGGATAAGTCTATGTGTGGATATGTGTGGATATGTGTGGATATGTGTGGGTATGTATCGGTATGTGTGGATAAGTGTGAATATTTGTGGATACGTATGGATATGTGTGGATGTGGATCAGTGTGGACAAGTGTGGATAATTGTTTGGATAAGTGTGGATATGTGTGGGTATGTGTCGGTAAGGATGGACATGTTTCTGCGTGTGCATTTGACTCTGTATGTGTGTGTCCTTGTGTGTTTGTGTGTGTACGTAGTAAGAGTGTTGTGTTTGTAAGGGTGGATATGTTTCCGCGTGTCCATTTTCAAGACAGCATTAACTGCATGTGTATCCACTGCTCTGCATGTGCATACGTGTTTGCACAAACCTCTTGTATGTGCGCGTGTATGTATGTTGGTATGACCATATTTCCGTAGAGAGGCAGATTGTGTAAACATCCTCCCTACCGCCATGTTGTGCCTTCAAAGGCAGCACTAACTGCACGAGTGTGCACTGTATGCACTATTTCTCGCATGTGCCAATGCGTGTGCATCTGTGTGCGTGTGTGAAGGGGTGTGCATGAGTGTGCATATGTGTGCATGTGTATGCATGTGTCTGTGTGTCTGTGTACGTGTGCATGCCTCTGAGCATGTGTGTGTGCATGTGTGTGCATGTGTGTGCATGCCTCTGTGCACGTATGGGTGCATGTGTGTGCACGTGTGTGCATGTGTGCGCATGCGTTTGCATTTCTGAGTGCATATGTCTATGTGTGTGCACCTGTACATGCATTCATGCACGTAAGGCCAGCAAACACATAGTCTGCGCCTCCTTTCGGCCGTCCGTTCATGGTGCAACTTCCACAGCACCATTAACTGCAAGCGCACGCACTGCACTTGAGTGTAGCTATGCGTTGACGTACACATCTATTTTTGTTGCCAGTGCATGTGTGTGATGTGTGCATGTGCATGAGTGTGAAGATGTGTGCACGTGTGTGGAGATATGTACATGTGAATGCGTGTGAAGATGTGTGCATGTGTGTGAAGATGTGTGCATGTGCATTAGTATGAAGACGTGTGCATGTGCGTGAAGGTGCGCATGTGTGTGAAGATGTGCGCAATGTGTGTGAAGGTGTGCATGTGTGTGAAGATGTGCGCATGTGTTGCGTTTGCATGTGTGTGAAAATGTGTCCATGGGTCTGTACATCTGCATGCACGCACATGAGCAAGCGACGAGTTGTCTTATGACAACACGTCCTTCCTACCTTGCTTTTTTTCCCTTTTTTGGTTGAAGAAAGGCTCGAGTCTATCCATGGGGAGCAGGATGTGCTGGGAAACGGGGCCAGAGTACCTTGATGTTGTCCCCCTCCCCAAAACAGCATTGACTTCAGCTGAAGGTTCACTCTTGACTAGGAACCAGCTGAAGCACGAACATGTCGCCGTTGAACTCGAGCCCTCTGGTCGCTTGCGGTGACAGCTCTCCATCCACCATCCCTCCAAACACCACAATCGAGCAACCCCCCTCGAGAGCACAAGCCGAGTGAAATGATCGTCGTCGCGGCACGTCGCCTCGAATTTTCAGCCGACGCCATAGCTTCCTCCCCGAGAACCTGCCTCCTCGTCCTCCTCCTCCAGCATTACTCCCTCCTCCTGCCCCCCTCATGCATGATGATGCTGTAGAACACCTGGGCGGCAATTTGTCGTTGTTTCCCACCACCCCAGCAGCACTCGCCTTGTTGTCCTTCTCCTTCCCCTCCCTCCCCCCGCCACCATAGCCGCTCTCCCCCCACGCGCGCGGATCCAAGATCCAGGTGTCGCTCTTCCTCCGCATGTTCTTGTCTTCCCCACCAATGACGACCAGTCGACCGCCGAGGACCGGGGTAGCGGAATGACCCGCCCTAGGGGACGGCCATTCGATGTCTTCGTCCCCCCCCCCCCCCCCCCGCTCCCCCCGACCTCTCACGGGCCATAGCTCCCTCCACACTGGACCAGGCAGCTCCTCCAGGTCCAAAAGCCATAAGTCATTCAGCACTTCGAACCTGGCACTGCGGCCGCCAAAGAGGACAAGCTGGCCACCTCCCACCCAGCTGAGAGTGTGTCCCGACCGAGAAGGTGGTCGGACGACGGTCCTGATTTCTTGCCAGCAAGGGGGGTTGTGTTCCAGATCAAGCAGCCATGTGTCGCACAGCCTCACACCTGTGTCATTGATCCCACCAAAAATGACCACCTTGCCTCCCGGCACGAAACTCCCCGCATGCGCACCCCGCGCTGGTGGGGCTGCCCTCACATCCACCTGCCGCCAGCTCCACGACTCTTCTGCGGAGTTGCCCTCCCCCTCGACCCCGACCCCAGCACTCGATGACCGCAACTCACATATCCACGTGTCTGACAGCCGCATCCCCGTGTCATTGAAACCACCGAACAGCAACAGCATCTTCCCCATGGCTGTGCCCATATGTCCAAACCGGCCGGGCGGGGATCTATCCTCACAAATCCTACTCCATAGATTACTCCCCTGGCCATGGTGAAGGGTGGGTGTCAACAACAATTGCCCAGCGTCCATGATCCATGTGTCATCTAAATGGCGCCCTGAGGAGGGAGGAGAAACGAAGGAAGAGGAGGCGGCGCATGGAGAGGGAAATGCACACAACGAGGTAACCAAGACACAGCCAGTCAAGAGAAAAAAAAAGAGAAAAGGACAAGCACACGCAGACAGTCAGCCAGCCAACCAGATGTCAAGCCAATGTTACTCCCTTTCCTGCGAGTGACAGAGCCTGACACGCTTATTTACCTTTCCGTGCCCGAGAAGCTGCATTGCCTCTGTTAGAGCACGACATTCAGTAATTGTCAGCACAAAAAAAGAAAACAAAAAAAAATCGAAGGTGCTGAAAAAAAGAAAAAGAAAAAGAAAAAGAAAAAGAAGAACAAAATAGCTTGAGTTCTCAGCGTTCTCCATTGCACATACTTTGGATTTTCCACTATCTCCTTTTATTGTCAAAATAGTCGTCTATGCTTAACCGCAACTGGGGTTAAGTTGGATGATAGTCGTCTATGCTTAACCGCAACTGGAGTTAACTTGGATGATCATTTTCAGTATCATTAGTTAGGGGACTCTGTGGACTGTAGAGGGTTCAGCCTCTTGATGAGTTGGTGAGGTTCCGATGGAACAGTCTGTCACAGCCCCTCGTTTGGTGTCCTCGTCTCCCTCTCTGCCTTACAGTTTACCGGGCAGTTCTGACGATATATAATTGCATATACTTGAATCGGACAATGAGAAGAAAAAAAAATGGAAAAAAACGGACGAGGAAGAAAACAGGACAAACGAAAAACAATCACGAGTTGCGATTTGAAGTTGGATGCATCGGTTTTGGGAAAAACATCTCAAAGGGCAAATTAAAAAAAAACAAAAATTCTTTAAAAAAGAGGAAAGGAGAAGAAGGATACAATAAGCAAAAGAAGAAAGTTAAAACGGAGGAGCAAGAAGAAGAACTGAAATGAATTGAATTGCATTGAAGAAGAAGAATTGAAATGAATTGAATTGCATTGAAGAAGAAGAAGAAGAAGAAGAAGAAGAAGAAGAAGAAGAAGACAGAAGACTGAAGAAGAAGGAGAAAAAAGAAGAATAGAAAACGCATGAGAGCGAAGAAGAAGAAAGTTAAAACGGAGGAGCAAGAATAAGAATTGAAATGAATTGAATTAAATTTAATTGAATTGAAGAAGAAGAAGAAGAAGAAGAAGAAGAAGAAAAAGAAGAAGAAGAAGAAGAAGAAGAAGAAGAAGACAGAAGACTGAAGAAGAAGGAGAAAAAAGAAGAATAGAAAACACATGAGAGCGAAGAAGAAGAAGAAGAAGAAGAAGAAGAAGAAGAAGAAGAAGAAGAAGAAGAAAAGAAACGGTGACAAAGACGAAAGGAAGAAAGACAACTATAAGGTGATTAATTTTGAAAGTTATATCTTTTTTCTGGGAAAATGCTACCAACAAAGAAAAAAAGATATTAACCACAAATTGCAGTCAGATGCATCAGGAAGATACTGAAATTTGCCCATAAATTGGCCGCTCATAAAAATGTGGATCCTGGATTTAGCCACAAACAAATTACCCCGCAGAAGCGAGGAGGAATCGATGGAGAAGGGAGAGGAGGGAGGGAGGGAGGAAGAGAGGGAGAAAGGGAGGGAGAAAGGAAAGGAGGGAGGGAGGGAGGAAGGGAGAGAGAAGGGAGAGGAGAGAGGGCGGGAAGGAGGGAGGAGGGAGGAAGGGAGAGAGGGAAGGAGGAAGGGAGAGAGAAGGGAGAGAGAAGGGAGAGGAGAGAGGGCAGGAAGGAGGGAGGAGGGAGTAGGGAGGAGGGAGAGGAAGTAGGAACAGAACAAATAGGAGAACAAAATCAAATCAAATTCCATACATTTTCATCACCTTCTTTTGTCGTCACTTTTTTTTTTTTTTTTTTTTTTTTTTTTGTACGTGTGTGTGTGTGTGTGTGTTCCTGCCCATCTTCCATCTGCCTACTGCCACATTCAATTTGTACATCCTAACCAGCTATTCCATTTTAAAAATTCAAAAATGACTTTTTGAAAGTAGACTTCTCAGATTTTATGGAATACGACTTCTCCACGTTTCTGCAGTAAGGTCATCCATCTAAAGGGCCGATAAATGATCTACAACGAGAAGATTCTCACCTCCGGAGGACCCTCCACCAAAGAGGATTAGCCTCTTGCTGACTAGGCATATAATGGAAGACGCTCGCGACCTTGGAAGCACGTCACCCAGAGACACTCGCCGCCACGTGGCTGATCTTAGAGTGGCCACCTCACGATAGACGTGCATCCACCCTTGCCTGCGCCGCCGGAGCAAAGCCAGGCCGCTGCCATCATCGCCGTCCACGGCCTCAGCTCCCCAGTCCAGTTTGCAAAGCCGATACCAAACAGCGTCATTTTCGGCTAATGCTTGGAAATGGCGACACGTCATGCTAAACGACAAAACGGATGGCGCTGGGAGTAGCTGAAGGATAATAAGCAGATGATCCGGTGCGAGAGACATTATCTTTCCCACGTAGTTGTCGTGAGGACCCCCCATGTTCGTCTCCATCGTCTGCATTAATATCGACTCTTCTCCCACAGATGGATAATGGATGATGATCAATTACCCGCCCTTTGTTTCGGATTCTAAGTCTGAGTAACCGGTATGCACACTGCTCCTTTTCCTTCTCCTCCTCCTCGTCAGGGATGATGGATGATGGATGATGGCTGGTGATAAATTACCCGCCTTTTCTTTTCCCTTCGTAGGTTAAGTAACCAATAAGCAAACTAGTCCTTGATGATCAATTACCCGCCCTTTGTTTCGCATTCTAAGTCTGAGTAACCGGTATGCACACTGCTCCTTTTCCTTCTCCTCCTCCTCGTAAGGGATGATGGATGATGGATGATGGCTGACGATAAATTACCCGCCTTTTCTTTTCCCTTCGTACGTTAAGTAACCAATAAGCAAACTATTCCTTCTCCTCCTCCTCTCCCCCCCCTTTCCACCTTGTCCTTCTCCTCCCACCCTTTCCTCCTCCGCCGCCTCACTCCCTTCCCCTAGCCCCGGTAGTAATGTATCTTTGGCACCGATAGTAATGATCACCTGCCTCCCTTCTCGCTCCTCTCTCTCTCTCTCTCTCTCTCTCTCTCTCTCTCTCTCTCTCTCTCTCTCTGTGTGTGTGTCTCTGTGTGTGTGTGTGTGTGTGTGTGTGTGTGTGTCTCACGCGCGCGCGTGCGCTCTCTGTTCTGCCTCGTGCTCTTTTGGTTTGAGATTGCACCTGTACAGTTCTCCCTCCTTGTTATTTTGAAATTGCACCTTGAGACCCTTTTTGTTGCTAACAGGACTGCAAGCTGCGGCTCTCAATTACCTCTGTCGCTACAGCCAGGCAAGTCTTCCACGTTCTCCTGCCCCCCTTTCCCATGAGGAATCATTCAGCCGGACACGAATTATGGACACCGCCATTGATGATACATGGACATACGTATGCGGCTTAAAAAAATCGACCAATCAATCAATCAATCAATCAATCAATCAATCAATCAGCCAATCAATCAATCATTCGATCAATCAATCAATCAATCAATCAATCAATCGGGAAGAGTGTGCAAGATGATCAATCGGTGAGTCGATCAGTCGACCTGTTTCATTGACAGTTCCCAATCCATCGGTTGGTTGATCCTATAGCTGCAACGCCATACATCTGCTCCTTAGAAAAATGAAAAAATAACTATCCTTAAACCCCTAATAACCCTTCGATTTCAATTTGCCGCCCCACTGTGTACCACAGCCAACCTCTCCGAACCGTTGGACCTTCAACCAACCATCCAATCAACCAATCGACCAATCGACCAATCAACCAATCAAATTATTGATCAGTCGATCGATCCGTCAATCGATCACCATCAGTCAATCAAGACCATAGTGAAAGCCGTGCACAGGTCTGAACTACCAAGGCCTCTTCTCTTCGTGTAGCAAATCGGAGCTCCTCCCACTTCCTCCTTCTTCTTCATCATCATTGCCGCTGCTGCATGCAACCCCCATCGCTGCTGCATGAAACTACGGGGTGAACCAAGTCGTGAATGTGGCATGGGTGCCGAAACAGGTCTTTATCTTTGCAAGTCAGTGTTCCAATCCCGGTCGTGATTCAGGAGGTTGTCAACCACGTCGTGAACCAAGTCCTGAATGCCAACTGGGTGCTGAACCAGACGCACCCCACTGCTCCAAGTTCGGATGTCTGTGCTTCGCAGACCGGATGGATAAGCGGCGGTCCCGCAGCCTCCATCAGCGAGTGAGAGTGCACACGTACTTGAAAACCTCCCCTGTTATCACCCGCTGTCTGCGGCACGCATCCGCCGGCGCCACCTCGGCCACCGCTCCCACTGCCGTCGTTCAATCATGCAATGGCTGGTTTTCAACCGTGCTCCGCAAGTACACTACGTCCGCACCCATGCACTGCCAACAACAGGAGGAGGAGGAGGAGGAGGAGGAGGGGGAGGAGACGAGAAAGGGGAGGACGGCAACGAGTAGTAAGAGCAGTGAGAGAACGAGGATGAGTAGGAGCACAAGTAGGGGGACGAGAAGGAGGAGGAGGAGGGGGAGGAGGAAGAAGTCCAATCCGTCCATTCCATTCCAACAAGGAGGAGATGCATAGAGGAGGAGCCTCCTCCCTTATCCATCCATCCCATCCCGAAAAGGAGGAGGAGGGTGAGGGGGATTGGACGAGGGGGAGGAGGACACCACGACAAGGACGAGGGCGAGGACGGACAGACAAATGAGATACTAGAGATAGATGAACAGTTACTGAAGATATTCCACCATCCTCCCTCCTGACCACCTTCCAGCACTGCCACTTACAAAAAAGAAGAAATGTGGTTTGTGAAGAGGGGGGGGGGGGGGGGGGGGGGGGAGGGGGGAGGGGAGAGGGGGAGCAACGAGCCTAGCTCAGTTGGTACACCCACAAACTGTTTAAATACAGACCCGAAAAACAGATGAGCAGAAAATTCTGAATAACCTGGGGCGGGTCAGTTCAATGATATCTCAAGGCCGTTGCCCTTTTGAAAAAGAGGAAATAAAGAGAGGAAGGCAAAAAAGGAGGAAAAGGAATAAACAAAGAAAAAACATTAAACAACCGCTCCATGCACGCACGCTGTGTGCCAAATGCCATAAGGATAGAAGACAAGCAATGGCCAATTGCTCTTTACACGCAAAACTGCTGATATTGCAATGAAGCATACAAACGTGTACACATGCTCGAAATTGTGCATGCATTCCTCTACGTTTCAACAGGCTGTGCTTCGGTCTCATCAGGAGGCATGCCACAATCCCAGCGCCTTACGGCCCGCCTGCACTCACCACCCACGAGCGAATGAGGGCCATTGTGGCCTTGCCCTCATTTAATCCTTTGGCCTTCCCTTGCACGCACCCTGCCCTACTAGCTACTAAGCCCTGATTGGCTAAACAATCCTGCGGCGGATCCGCAAGAGGCCCTCTGCAGCTGCTCAATCCCTCATACGCGGGCGCTGCGTACGTGCTGGACTGCCGTGCAAATTCCTAGGTAGTTCATGCGTCTGCCGTGGTCCGAAGGTACATGGCAATTCAGATTTGTGGTCTACACTTCCTGTTCCCACCCGAAATCCGCTACTACACCCAACTCTACCCAGGTCTCTCCACCTTCCACATATCTCAATTTCCCTCCTAATTTGAAACCACGCGGGCTCCGGTACTACTGCAACGTGCCCAATTTTTCAAGCATTGGCGCGCGAGCCTATCCCGCGCTTTTGTACTAACTAGAAATTACAGAAATCCGAAAGAACCCCCTACAGACTCGTGTACAGCCGCTACTTGGGTCCTACCGGGTACGCCATTAAACTAGTAAACAGCACTATCACTTCCCCAGTAATTCCTACTTTTGCCCCTGCAGAGACGAAACTAATGTACAGCATTTCCCATTCTCCCATAATTTCAACGTTTGCCCCCCACAAAGGCCAAATTACTACTAATCCCACAAATTCCAGCAAACAGAAATTGAAATCAGAAAGGCAAATACTATCGATTGCCGTATTAACAGAGGCTATCCAGCAGTAGGGCTGTCCCCGTCTACTAACCCAAAATGTCTCTTCTATACGCCTACCTAAACCCCCTTTCCGCTACATCACTCGAGGCATTATACCATGCTATCGAGGAGCACCCTCCACGCCTCCTCGCTAGCGATGGTACGCCTGGCAAACTTTGCCAGGGAGGATGCGAAGAACCCAGGTCATCTTAAATCTGTGTGTGTGTGTGATCGATAAAGAAGAGAAGATGTTTTTTTTCATGCAATTTAATAATTTGTTGAAATTATTATCTGTTCCAGACTTTGTCCGAGATAAACCCAGGTCATCTTTTTTTTTTTTTTCAATGGTCATCATCATGGACGTGAAGAGGACCTTTGCTTCTTCTTTTCTCTTTTACTGCTCCATCATCACGAACATTTCTTTTCTTTTTGCCCCTTAAACAAGGGTTTGGCACTGACATTCTTTCATCCATCAGCATTGAAGCAGGTAGGCTCAAAAATTATTTTTAAATCAGGATTCTAACGTAAGAAAACACGTAACAGAATAACAATATAATCAGGGTTGCACCCCAGCCGACCGCCGACCGTATTGCAGCCGACCAGTAGGGCCGACCGGTCTGCCGACCAGTCCGAAAACAGTCATCCGCTGATTTTTTTTCAAATCT